GACGACTCCTCACATTAGGTTGCAACTCTTGGCTCGATCCTTGTGTATCTCGCCTTCGTTCCCGCTCCCCCGGTCTGGCCTTCCTGCCAGCTGAGTGGATCGCTGCAGTCCCCGGCGAGAATCAGTACGGCGCAGCTGCCTATGGCCACGGCCAAGGGAGGCCACGGTGGCCACGTGGAAGACATCCCTGACGCTGCGCTCAGAGGACCGGGAGGAGCACTCCACGTAGGACACAGCCCCCACCTGCTTGGCCAGCACAGTGCCCTGGAAGGATGGAGCGCATGAAGGAAGTTATAAGGCCTAGCCTGCAGCTCCTTAAGGGGCAGGGAGGCTGAGGGCTGGGGGAGGGGAGGCGGTAAAGGGATCAGGGCAGAGGTCAGAGGCCAGGACAAAGGATGAACAAAATAAGATGTTTTCAAATCAGAGAATGAGAGGGTCAGAAGTGGGAGATCTAGGCTGGAATGAGGTCAAAGGTCTGGGGTCCCACCTGCTCATGTGTAACAGGGATAAGCCTCTGCTTGGACAGCTCCCTCAGTGTGGCCAGGTCGGTCCGCATGTCCAGTTTACAGCCAACCAGCACAACCTTGGCATTGGGGCAAAACTCCTGAGTCTCTCCTTGCCACTATTTGGGGAAAGAAAACAGAGTTATGGAGGAGTAGAAGGAGGCACAGGGTGAACCGTGCTCCACACCAGTAGGCCACCCTTTATCACTGCATGCAGAAACCAACAACCCTCTGGACTCTTCTAAGTGAGCAAAGAGGTGGCAGAAGTGTGCTTGGGCTGCAAGCAGGGATGGGGTGTGGGAGAATGGAAAGGAGGAGAGGCCTGCGGTGGGGCCATAGGGTCTGTGTCCTGCTTCTAACTCGGGCCATGAAGCAGCTGCCAGCCTGGAGCCTTCCAGTTCTGAACCCCTTTCCCAAGTTTGTTCCTAAGAACAGACCAATCCAGCCCTCCCTTCCCCCACCTGGGAACTGGGGCTGCCTTAGCTGACTTCTGTACTTTCACCATAGGCTTTTCTTATGGAAATAGGGGCCTGGAGAGGAGACCACAGGGCTTTCCTGAGCTCCAGAGACACATTCCCATCCAGTCCATCTGGGGCTCCCACTCCCAAGGCAATGGGGAGGGTGGCTAAGGAATCTCTTGAGTACCTACCTCTCCATACTCTCCCCGTGCACCCCCAGATATCCTACCTAGCTCTGAGGACTGATTTCCAGAAAAGGGGGTTTAGGAGGATGAGAGCTTCACACACTCTCCAGCTGATGGCTCATGCTGTGTCAGGACCAGGGTGTTTGGTCCCTCTCAGTCTAGTTTCCTGCTTCCCCAGGCTCCCACCTTCTTGAGAACACTGTCCAGTGTTTCTGGTCGGCTAATGTCGAAGCAGATGAGCACAGCGTCTGAATCAGGATAGGCCAGGGGCCGGACATTATCATAGTAAGAGGAACCTGAGAGAAGACAGAGGAGAGAGGGCAGACGAGGGTCCTGAGTGGGTGAAGGCCTGGAAGGGAATGGGAGACCTGAGCAATCCTGGCCAAGGGATGCTAGGATCAGGTAATGGCACAGAGCAGTTATTAGTAACCATCAAGGAGTCTGTTTCTCCAAGGCAGGAGCAGGCAGAGGGGAGGTTAGATAGCAGAAAACAGCTCTCCACTTCCCTAGGGGTTTCTCTAACGGTAATCATTCTTAATATGTTCTGAGTCCGAGAGGCTCATGAAAGCTCTCAACATTCTCACAAAATTTTGCGTGTGCTTTCTGGGTTGACAGACATCTTATAATGACCTCGAGGGGACCAGAGTAAAAATAAAAACCCTCCTTTTTGGAAAAGGGAGAGAGCTCTCCGATCCTCTTGGGACTTGATCTCAGATTTCTACAGTTCTGTCTAGAGAAGTAGTTCCCACACCCAAAGAAATTCTAAATGTCTTTCCTAAACCCAATTCTAATCTTCTCAAAAACGTTCCCATACAAAAAACATTCCCTCGCAACTTTCCCAGGTAGACAGAATCCAGCAGAGGGGACTGGATACTGGGCTTTTCTCCTTCAGGATATGTTTCTAGGTATGTGAGCAAACTCTGCCTCAGTTTCCCTGGCTTTAAGCAGAAAATTAATTTTCCTTCCTCCTAGAATTAGATGGATGGGCTGAGCTGACTTGAAGCCTAAGGGTCTAGCCAAAGGGAGGGGTCAGGGTGAGGGCCTTGGAAGTCAGGGTGACCCCAGGGAGTTGGCTACCTGAAGTGTCCCACATGTTGAGCTCAATGCGGCGCTTGTCTATCTCAAAGCTCGCGGTGTAGTTCTCAAACACGGTGGGGACATAACTCTGCAGACACGGATGGGTCAAGATAAGATCCTCCAGTCCTCACCCCAGACAAATGCCCTCCTCATTCTCACACCCCGTCCAGCCCAGTCCCTGGACACAAGTTGGTTTGGTGTTGGGCAAAGGGGAGATCCTGGGAGCGGCTGCCTCGGGGAATCTGTTAGGCTTCCAGACCCCCTCCGGGCCCTTTCAGCCCTTAGTTCTTCCCCTTTCCAAAGCCCAGGACCTCGGACATCCCCCTAGTAACTCCCTCCGGGATCCTCTGCTTCCCCCAAACCCCATTCGTCTCACCCTGATCCCCAGTTCCTCCCACCCCAATCCTCTGCAGTCCTTCCAAAGCCCTCAACACCATCCCCCGGCCCTCTGAGCCTCTCTCTATCGTCCCTGGTTACCCCAGCACCCATTTCTGTCCGTCCCCTGAGCCCCAGTCACCCACACCCGCGACTTCAGCTCCCCCGGCCCAACACGCCGGTCCCTCACCCCGGGGTAGGCGTCCTTGGCGAACACCTGCAGCAGCGCCGTCTTGCCGCACTCCGCGTCCCCCACCACCACGATCTTGCAGCGGCCGCTCTGCCCCTCCATGGTCCCGGCTACACGCCGGCCCCCAGCGCAGCGCCCCTCCTGGGCCCCGCTGCCGCCTACCCCGCCGCTGCAGCTGCAGCAGCTCCGGCCGCCGACACCGGCATCTCGCGGGCCCGCGCGGAGCCCCCACCCGGGGCCGCGGCGCCCCTCGGCCGCGCCCCCGGCCCCGCCTCCCGCCCGCGCAGCCCGGAGGAGGGGCCCAGGGTAGCTGGGTGGGATCCAGGGAAATCTAGGCGGGAGAGCAGGATTGTATCGCGCTGCTGTGATCCAAGGGGCCCCTGCGGCTCTGGGGCGGGCCGAATCGGGTTATTTGACTGATTTGACATCCTTGGGGTTGGGGGTGGGCGGAGCTTGGGCGAAGTTCTGAGGGGTAAGGTGGGATCAGCACACGCACGAGGCTCGGGCCTTTTGCGCCACGCGTGCACGCCGGTGTGCTAGTGCGGACACGAGCAGGGGCGACCATCCACTTCCTGAACAGCAGGGGGTTCGAGATGGTAGGGCAAGGAGGGAGACTTTTGGGTTCGGTCTCCCCCCTACCTGCTCATGTCTCGGCAGGGAGCCTTGGTGCTAGGAGGGTAAGGACTCCAACACCTCCACCAGGAAAGGTGACGTCATGGCTTTCCGTCCCCTTAGCAACGGATGGCCTAGTCTGGGGCTATGATGAGTTAAAGGCTTACCTGGACTAGCAGGCAGGCAAGAACGAGCTTTCAGTCAAGCGTAGGGTGAAAAGTTTTGGGGGAGCTGCGTCCTCTGGTGGGTAATACCGGGAGAAGGAGATGGAGAGCGAAGAGGCAGATCCGGTTGCCCGGTGACAACCCTGATGGAGCCAGAGACAAGCTCTAAAGTCATTTCAGGCTTGATCCGGGATCTAACAATAATCGAGCTACTGTTTTGCCCCTGGATGACATCTTTTACCTTTTAAAAGTGCTTCTTTTGTTGTGGCGCGACAGAGTCAAAGAAGGGCCACTAGAAAATTTAAGTCCAAATAAAAGCCGTTTATTAGCCGGCCCGCATCTGATTCTGAACACCCCTGTGACAAAATCCTCAGAGATCAGCCTGGATATGCTATATTACATGCCTTTTACACCTTAAAGGAAAAGTTGAATGATATTAGAAAATAGGATCTTCTTGATATAATGCCCTGGGCTACAACAGTGCTGTATAGAATTAGTTTGCCTTGTGGATAACAGGAACACCCAGGCACATCCAAGTATTGCAAGGTACAGTGGGGTCACACTTAGCCCCGAGCTGTACAAACACAATGCAAGCCTGATTTCTTGAGATTGTGGGGGAGGTCGAGTCTCTGACTCAAGACCTCCAAGCTCCATGGACTCTGTCAGACAGTAGCAGGCTCCCAACAATTTCTTAGATTAGGGAGTTTTCCAATTTACTGAGGTTATTTTTATCTCTATCCTGTTAAATTCTTTACAAAACAGGTTCAGCTAGAGGGCCCACAGTGACTTTCCCAATCATCAGTTATGGAGCTATAAACAAGTCAGCACAATAATTTACCAATCATCAATTATGGGGTTATGAACATGTCAGCACAGTTTATATTAAGGGTAGTCGATTTAATTTTATCTTTACCCTTTACCAAGCAACATCTTCACCATTTTACAGAAGGCAAAACTGAGGCACAGAACTTTAATAAAATCAAATGTTAAGTTTTAAAGACTCTATCTTCCTGCTCCAAGTTGCCACTGATAGACCACGTGGAATGGGTCACATATGGGTAGAGTCAGAGCCTGAGGAACAATTTGGTTAGGTTCCTGTCCGCAGGTGGCCAACTCCCTAAATTTGATGTCAGCTGAGGCTTTGGGATCCTCTTTCAGACTGCCCCTAGACATATTTTTTTAACTTGCGTAAGGTTTATTATGAATAAATAAGTAAATTAAATCGCGATCTGCATTACCCCGAGAATGTCCTCGCGTGTGTTTGTCCGCGAATGTTCTTTGTTTCTGCTTGCACGAGTCCACAGTACCCGCTTTGTGGCCCTGGTCCTTTAAGGAGGTGCACGAAGCCCGCTCCCGGGCGGGCGCCCCGCCCCTTCTGCTTAGGCTTATCCTGCCGCGCGCCCTGCCCTGCCCAGCTGTGTACCCTTCGTCCAGCTGTGTGCGCACGTCGGGAGTCCTAGCCATGGCCACGGAGAGAGAGGTAGCCAAGGTGGCCGCCGAGGGGGCCGCGGCCGCTTCGCCGCGGTCGCTGCGCTACCTGGTCATCACTGGCATCGGCGGCTACGACAAGGTGAAGCTGAAGAGCCGGCCGGCCACGCCCCCGGCCCCGGGACCCGGCCAACTGACGCTGCGCGTCCGGGCCTGTGGGCTCAACTTCGCGGACCTTATGGCCCGGCAGGGGCTGTACGACCGGCAGCCGCCCCTGCCCTACACGCCGGGCTTGGAGGGTGCGGGAGTCGTGACCGCAGTGGGCGAGGGAGTCAACGACCGCAAGGTGAGCGGCCCAGCCCAGGGCAGAGCTGTGCAGGTCACTGGGTAGTGGGACAGGAGTGGGCGGTCGCCGGGGGTGTGGCAGAGCGGGGGACACTGGCACCGACCCGGGTAGACCGGCATGGAAGACGTAGGAAAGGAGCCTGAGTTTGGAGGCTCCTGGAGACCTGGATTTATATTGGGGGGTGGGAGGGTGGAGATAGACTTATCGCCCCCTCCCCAACCATTTTGAATTGTGGCCGCCGCCCAGAGGCAGTGGTGGTGGTGGTGGGGGGGTTGTTTGTGGGGGGAACAATAAGGCGCCCGTGCACATGCGTATAATATCCTTACTACCTCTCCCCAACCCACCCACCCCAATCCCGAGTAAAACCACACCTGTACCCCTGCTCATCAAACATTCCCCGAGTAATTGTGGTCTGTGACCCTAAATGACGGTGACTTATTCCTCAAGGGAGCTTGAGGAACTTTGTAGTTGGGGTTGGGCGGCGGCACATGGCTGTGCCAGAGCCCTGGTCACTTGCAGCCCCGTGGTCTGTGGGGGTGTGCGGCTGCCCCTTCCACAGCAGGGAGAAGAGACAAGGCACGCCCATCATATGGACGCCTGCCACCACCCCTCCACCAGCCCTACAGTGCCAGTCTGATTTTGGTGGCGGCAAAGGCGGGGTACAGGGATGGGGTTGAGATTGGGTCTCTGGATCTTAGTTTTGGAGTCTGTCTCCTCCTCCTGTGACTCAGCCATCGGGTCACGGCCCTCGTGGCTGCCCTTGGGAATGTTCCAGCGGGCGGAACCTGCCTACGCCTTCCTTGTGGGGACCCTCAGAAACCCTGGTGGTGCTTATTTGAACTGGGGTTGGGGAGGGTGTGGCACGCGGTGCAGGTTGGCCCAGTTCTGCCAGTCTGTTTCTCCTTTTCCTTTATCATTAATCTTGGCCACAACCCAGGACACCGGGGAGTTCCAAATGACCACCTTTTTTTTTTCTTTTAATTCTGACCCCGAGGACATTTTTCCCATTTTTTTTTTGTTCAGACAGAGTGGGAGGGAGAGAGAGAGAAAAAGAAACATTGACGTGAAAGGGACACATCGAGTGGTTGCCACCCGCACGACCCAATCGGGGCCGGGGACAAACGGCAACCGAGGTTCATGCCCTTAGAAGGAACCGAATCCCGCTCTCCCTGGACCGCAGGTCTACTCTCTAACCGCTGAGCCAAACTGGCCAGGGCCCAAATGACCAACTTTTTGAAAGACCTGGGGTGAGCCTTTGCATGTCATTTGTTCAGGGGTTTCTTTTCAAATCAGGCCCCTGCAAGAGAGGCCCCCCAGATGCAGCCTTTCTCTTGCTGGACCTGCCGGTCCTAGATCACAGAGCTGGAATTCTTGGATTTATTTGTACATGCAAACATCCTCTTTAAAGGGCTTCTTCCTGGATTCAGCTGTGGCCCCACTCTTTCCACTGACTTCTAAATAACCCCACTCTTGAGAAGGTGCTAAGAGGAATATTTTTTTTTAGTGGGGGCAACTGTAGTTCATGCTACTCCTGAAGGCCACCCACCTAACCTCCTCTCCCCACACTTTCCACTTGGTAAATATAGGATATCCTGTCCAGGGTAAGAACCTGGTTGTAAGAGGCTGGATTCTGTGGGGAGAGCCCTCCCTGTCTCCTGATATCAGCCCTGCTCTGTGATGATCGGAGAGGTGGGCATTAGTCTGGGTAAGTGGTGAGCCTTGTTACTGGGCCTGGTCACCATCCAGACTGACCACTGTATTTTTGCCGGTCCTCCAGGGTGATTGCTGAGTCTGCTAATCCTGAGTCCTGGGGTGGAAGGCTTTCACTCCCCACACCTCATCTTAGAACATGCTTGTAGGGAAAGATCCTAGCCTGCCCTCAGTCCTCCTTGCCAGTGGAATGTGGGGCCTTGAGGATACGAAAAAGGATATGTGGGAGAATCCCATCCCTCTTCCCCATGGATCCCAAATCTCCTTAATATACAGAATTCCCATCATTCCTGGCAGGACCAAGACAGAGCCAGATTGTTCCAGAACAGCACCCACACCTCCCTCTCCACTCTCTTCAGAGAGTGAGGAGAGGCCTTTCTTTTTCCTGAGTATGCCCCCTTTCCTGTGCCCTCAGCTGGAGAGAAGGGTTCTGTTTTCTTTGCTCCCTTTCCTTCCCAAAAGGAGGCTCTCCTGCATGTGGCTGAGAGTGAGGAAAATACCTTTTCCTGGTGAGAGGGATTGTGTGGCTCTCTTTGTTCATCACCCCCGCCCCATACACACACACACACACACACACACACACACACACGTCTCTGGGTGAAAGTGTCCTCTAGGCCCCCAGTGCTGGCTCAGATATTTCTCCTGAGGGGACCACACCCAGTCCCAATTGCTCAGAGATCTTTACCTGTACTGTGGTATGGCACTTAGCACATACTCCCTCTTCCTTCAGTTACTGGATTGGTAACCTTCCTTCCTAGCCACTGTTATTGTCATTATTATTATTAGCTAGCACTACTAAGTGTCTACTATATGGCCAACAGTTGGCTGAAAAAATGACTGAATTTTTTGTCAAAACTGTACCTAGCCCTGGCCGGTTTGGCTCAGCGGTTAGAGCGTCGGCCTGCGATCTGGAGAGACCCGGGTTCGGTTCCCGCTAAGGGCACGTACCTTGGTTGCAGTTTGTCCCCGGCCCTGGTTGGGTTGTGTGGGTGGCACCCACTCGATGTGTCGCTTTCACGTCGATGTTTCTCTCTCTCTCTCTCTCCCTCCTACTCTATCTGAACAAAATATCGAAAAATGTCCTCAGGTGAGGATGAAAAAAAAAAAAACTGTACCTATTTACAGATAGAAAAACTGGGGCTCAAAAAGGTTAAATAATTTTCTATTTGTCAACTGTCACATTGTCAATAAACAGTGGAGCCTATTTTTTTTTTTTTAACAGAAGCAGCTTAATCTCTTCAATAATACTTTATACTGCCTTAACTATAAGCTTCTTGCATCAGGGACCTTACACAATAGTGCAGTTAAATATCTATAAAATGGAGATAAGGATAGTATCTACCTCAAAGAGCTGGTGTAAGGATTAAATGTTTCAATAGCAAGCACTTATAATTGGCCGTGGACCTTGGGAAGTACTCGGTAAAGGTAAGATATTATTTTTGATGACATTATCATTATTATTATTATTATTACCATAACTACCACTGCTCCTTCTGCTGCCACTTCATTACCAGGAAGAGGACCTTGTACATAACAGAAGGTCATAAATTGCCAATGGGTGAATAAATGAGTGACTGAATCATGCTCTTCTTCCATTCTTCAAGGTAGGGGACCGGGTGCTGGTCTTGATCCGATCGGGCATGTGGCAGGAGGAGGTGACTGTGCCCTCGACCAAGACCTTCCTGATGCCTGAGGCCATGACCTTTGAGGAAGCTGCTGCCTTGCCGGTCAATTATATCACAGCATACATGGTCCTGTTTGACTTTGGCAACCTGCGGCCTGGCCACAGCGTTTTGGTACACATGGCTGCAGGTGACAGCTCCTTTCCTTTATCCTCCCCCCTTACCTTACGAGATTTCCTCCTAGGCCCCTTCTCAGTAGCATGTCTAGACTGTTGTCATAGTAACACCAGGCTGCCTTGGCCTATGGCACCCAAGGCCTCTGTAGTATTGTTGCCGTGGCAACATTCAGGCACCAGATCCAGCCTGGTGTGCTATCCACAGCAACCTGCCCTCACCCAGCACCCCTTCCTTGCCAGCCACTCTTCTCCCAATTCTCAGTTACAGAAATTGGACATGACATGAGGGCAGAAAGCCTCCCAATGAGCCCAGGCAAAATGAAGGTGATGGGCTCGGTCCTTGAGAGGCGAGAATGGAGAGTGGTGGCTGGGTGACTCTATATCCCCTCCTTATGAAAGTATCTTGCTGCAGGGGGTGTGGGTATGGCCGCCTTGCAGCTGTGCCGTACAGTGGAGAATGTGACAGTGTTTGGAACAGCTTCAGCCAGGAAGCACAAGTTGCTGAAGGAGAACGGGCTCACATACCCCATTGACTACCACACAACTGACTACGTGGATGAGATTAAGAAGATCTCCCCCAAAGGTGGGGTCAGGGTATGGGATGGCATGGGACAGAGAGGGGGATCTCTAGATTGGTGGATTCTAATACTATTCCTGGGCCCCTTTATTCTGTGACAGGCGTGGACATCATCATGGACCCTCTTGGTGGGTCAGATACTGCCAAGGGCTACAACCTCCTTAAACCCATGGGCAAAACAATCATCTATGGTGAGTCAGTGGGCTGGAATGGAGAGGGAAAGTTAGGGGAAGTAGGGTGTGATATAGGAGCCCAAGGGTTTTTTAATCCTCACCCGAGGACATTTTTGCATTTATCTTCAGATAGAGTGGGAGGGAGAGAGGGAAGAAGAGAGAGAGAAACATAAATGCTAGAGAGACACTGTGCCCTCTGTCAAGACCTTTGCATGTCATTTGTTCAGGGGTTTCTTTTCAAATCAGGCCCCTGCAAGAGAGGCCCCCCAGATGCAGCCTTTCTCTTGCTGGACCTGCCGGTCCTAGATTCCAGAGCTGGAGTGGTTGCCACCCACGTGACCCCAACAGGGGCTGGGAAAGAACTGCAACCCAGGTCCGTGCCCTTAGCAGAAACTGAACCCAGGACTCTCTACCCGCTGAGCCAAACTGGCCAGGGCGAAGCCCAGGGTTTTTGAATGAAGAAGGGGCAGGGACCCAGGTACTGTAGAGACAGTGCCAGGGTTAGGATGGTCCTGGATATTGCATTCAGATTGCTGCCTCCTAGGTGCAGCTACTGTCATTTTCCTTCACAACCTTCCATATGAGTCATAGTAAATTCTTTGTGTTTTTTTATGCTCCTGTTTGGAGATTGTTCCTGATACAAAATCAACCAATCTGCCTTCCTCGTCCTACTCTCCTGGGCTTCTTAGACAATCTGCATTTCCATTTAAAAAACTATTTCATATACCTGAAAGTAATACCAAATAATATTGAATGTAAACTGTAATGGAAAAATAAAAATTTAAAAACCATTTCACATAAAATAAACAAATAAAGATTAGAACCATTTTTGAGTTACATGGAGTCTTTCTGGGCCTGGTAGCCTGCGAGTGAGGGATTATGTCACTCCCTGGCAGTGGTGTGGATAATCGTGAGGGGTCCACAGGGGGCAGACAAACATGAATCCAGATACACAGGGATGAGCTTGGCACCTGGACTCATAGGCTGTCTCCTTGTCTCTCAGGAATGGCCAACGTGGTGACGGGCACCAAGCGGAACCTGATGGCCATGGCACGCACATGGTGGAATCAGTTCAGCGTGACAGCTCTGGAGCTGCTACCAGCCAACCGGGCTGTGTGTGGCTTCCACCTGAGCTACCTGGATGATGAGGTGGAGCTGATCAGTGGGGTGGTGGCCCGCCTCCTGGCTCTGTACAATGAGGGTCACATCAAACCTCACATTGACTCTGTGTGGCCCTTTGAGAAGGTGAGTGTGGTGGCTCCGCAGGGAGGGCCTGGGCAAGACCCTGGAAGGCTGGGGACCCAGGGGTAGGATTCCTGGAAGGAGGCTGACTCTTTGGAGGGGCTGGAGGGCACTGGGACCAGAGCCTTATTTTCCTCTTCAGGTGGTGGATGCCATGAAGCAGATACAGGAGAAGAAGAATGTGGGCAAAGTCATCCTGGTGCCTGGGCCAGAGAAGGAGAACTAGGACGGGGCTGGGAGATCTTCCGGACCCGGGAGGAGAGAAGCTGGGAAGTCATGTTATGTTGGCCGCCAGACCCTTGCATTTCTTTCTTTCTTTTTTTTTTTTTTTATCCTCGCCTGAAGACATTCTTCTATTTTTGGTTCAGATAGAGTGGGAAGAAAAGAGAGGAAGAGAGGGAGAGAAACATTGATGTGAAAGGGACACATCGAGTGGCTTTCTCCCGCACCACCCAACCAGGGCCAGGGACAAACCGCACTGAGGTACATGCCCTCAGTGGGAATCGAGCCCCGGTCTCTGGACCTCAGGCCGACGCTCTAACCGCTGAGCAACACTGTCCAGGGCCAGACCCTCGCATTTCATCCTCTGTCATAATGCTCTGCCCTCTCTCCCAAAGGTTTCCGTGGTGATGACCTCTCCCCTGCCCTGTTCTTTCTCCTTAGCCAGGGATGCCCCCACCCTCCTTCCTGCCCTCTGAAGGGGACAGGGAGGGTCAGAGGGAGACCGGCTGCTTCCTGCCCCCACCCTTTCCCTGGGCCTGCTGTGCTGCTCCTGTGCCAAGGCCAATCCCTTCTACTTCTGTTCTATGTGTTTCTGCTTCTGCCTCATCTCCCCTCCTGCCCCTGCCCCTCTACCTCCCCCAAAGAATTCAAATGTCAGCTCAGGATATGGGGCCAATCTGTGTGAGTCCAGCATGTCCCTGTTTCACCCTAATGTCCCTTCAGCCCAGGCTGACCTGTGCCCACCTCTGAACTCCTTGGCCACATTGCATGGCCTCATCATCTTGTCCCTAACTTCTTAAGCACAACTGGGCTTCTTCCACCTCCAGGTTTTCTGCCACTCTTAACCAAGGTTGCCTCTTACAACAAGGACAGGAATCACACCTTCTCCCCTAGGTCATGACTCTGTGGGAGGGACACAGAGCTCCCCCCTCCTCACTGAGTTCTCTGAATTTGTTCTCAGTGCCTTAGCAATGGAAATCTTGTGCTTATGTATGTGGTGGGGGGCCCTGTCTCACACCTCCTTCTCCACCCTTGTACCCCCGCCCCAGTGCCTTCCTTGTTCTGGTGGAGCTGGGGTTTTGCTGCTGCCCAGTCCCACAACACTGCCAAAAATCTGTGTGTGTGCCAGTGTCGGGAGCAGGGGCAGCCCCTAACCTCCTAGGTTCTGTGCCATGTCTTGTCTCTCTTTGGGGCTGTCATTTCTCTATCGGTGGTTGAAGAGACAGAGGTGGGGACATTTTCTCAGCTTTGCTGATAAGTGTGGCATTTACCAGCCAGAGCTCGGGAGGCAATGCTGTCTATTTCTTGTTCTGGGACCAAAGTGAAAATTAAAGCACATCCCCATGCAGTCATGGGAGGCCCCTGCCCCTGCCTTCTCAGAGCACAGAGGCACCTTTTCAAACTCAGCCCCAAACTTCGTTTACATGGGTGGGAGATGGAGAAGTGGAGTAAAACGGGGTGGTGGGGGTCAAGACATGGGCCCCTGGAACCAAAGTGGGGACTTCCTGGGGTAGAGGTGTAACTCCCTCTGCTCTCTGAGCTGGAATTAGGAAGGGTTATTGCCCCAGCCATTGCCAATGGGAGGTGGCGGGTGGGGCTGGGCCTCTTCAGTGTCTAAATGAGGCCTAAACGGAGTGAAGTGCGACTTCTGTGTTGTGTACTCCATCCCATTACCGAAGCTGCCTTTGCGTTTGTGTCAATAAAAAGCCAAACCCTGGGTCCTGGATGTTGCTTCTGAGAGTGGAGGGAAGATGAGCTGGTGAAAGACCAGTGCTGACAGTGGAAGGTTAGGGTTTCTGCCCTCCCCCCAGCCTCCTTCCACACCCCAATCAAGTTTCCTTTCATGAAATGAAATGAGGAAGAAGATCACGCCATGCAGGCACTTTTACTGTTCTGAGACGGCGTTTCACAACTCAGAATCCTGCCCTCTGTTGATTAGCATGATCACATTCGTCCACATGCACCGGACCCCAGCCCAGTTTGAGAACCTTGGCAGAGGATTGGAGGGTGATGAGAAGGGCAGGCTCCTAGCTGGACTGGGCGGTGAAGATCGCCAGACCTCGCTCTCCTGGGGGCACGACTGTCAGGGTCTCCACCTCCCCTCCCCCACGGGTGGGCTTCTGGAAGTGGATCTGCAGGATGTCCTGCAGCTCTGGGCCATCCAGGACATCAGGAATGTTGAGCACCAGCACTGACTTGGGCACTGGCTGGGACCTGATCTGGAAAAGGAGTCAGGGGATGAGCTAAGGCTCATGAAAGTCAGAGATTGGGGGCAGAGGTTGGAGCAAGCAGTGTCCCTGGGAACATGGGAGGGGCAGAAAGCCTAGCGAGGCTGGCAGTAGGTACGTCAGTGGGGTTTGGGGGCTCATACTGTTTCTTGGGCAAGCTTCTAGCAGGACAGGTTACCTGGCCCAGCCCGCATTCTCTGCCTTCCTACTTACCTCTGCCTTCTGGATCTCTCCACTCATGTAGGGAGAGACTTGCAGAGGGAACTGCTGCCCGCCCAGGGGCACCGTGAACTGGCCAATCCGGCACAGGTTCTGGACCACTGCAGGGACAGGAAGGGAGACCTTCAGCATCAAGGGCTTTCCTCCTCCGGGGCCTGATGCATCTGCCCTAATCTCCCTGGTAGGGCCCTTACCTTCATCCTTAGCGAAGCCCAGCATGACACCCCCATGCAGCAGCTCCCGAGTCTCCACATCACCACCCCCGTTCTTGGTCTTGCCAAAGAAGATCTCCAGCTTGTCCAGCAGCTCCTCCTCATTCAGCTTGAGATTAGCAGGAAACCCACTGACCAGCACTCTCCGGCTACTCTTCTGGCTGGATACCTAGGGGTAGAAAGAAGGAGTGGTTCCAGGCACAGCCCCACTCCCAAGTACCCAGCTACATGGCACTCCCTGCATGTCCCAGAACTCTGCCATTCTATCACCTGGATGGTTGTCACCATGGGTAGCTCCAAGGGCTGGACCTGCACCCGCAGCCGGCACTCTTCCAGGTCAATCTTATGCTCCTTTTGTTGTAGCACCTGGTTGGCCACTGGATGGGGGGAGCAGGATCAGTACTGAGAAGCCTCCCAAGCTCCCTCCAAAGGCTTCCCAGAGAGCTCACCCTTGGGGTCATCGAAGGTGACCAGAGCAGAGCCTCCAGGCAGAGGGTAGCAGATCTGCAGGTTGGAAACCACAGACTTGGGCACTTCCCTGTTCTGCTGAGTGTGTCCTCGGAACACCAGGGGGACTTCAGGCATTGGGAATGGGTCCTAGAGGTGGGGGAGGGGAGGCTGATGTAGTCAAGGGATGAATCCATGTATTAGAAGAAAAGCTGGCCCCCATGTTCATAGCAGCACTATTTACAATAGCTAAGATCTGGAAACAGCCCAAGTGTCCACCAGTAGACGAATGGATCAAAAAGCTATGGTACATATACACAATGGAATACTATGCAGCGGTAAGAAAGAAAGATCTCTTATCCTTTGAGACGACATGGAGGGACCTGGAAAGTATTATCCTAAGTGAAAGAAGCCAAGCAGAGAAGGACAAATACCACATGATCTCACTTATATACGGAATATAATGAACATAACAGTCTGAGGAATACAGTAGACCCAGACACATGGAAGTGGGGCACAGACTGACATCCCTCAGAAGAGGGGATGGGGGGTGGGGGGGTGGGAAGAGATAAACCACAGAACTTATATGCATGTATGCATGACCAATGGACATGGACAACTAAGCTGGGGACAGGGTGGAGGGGGGGTGGGGTGGGGGGTGCCAATGGGGTAAAAAGGTAAAATATCTGTAACAAAAAAAATAAATAAATAAAAATTTCAAAAAAAAAAAAAAAAAGAAGAAAAGCTGGGTAAATGAGTAGATGAAAGCAGGTCAAGCCTGTTCTGGCACTTTACATACAAGATCTTAGTTTGTCCTCACAGCAGCCTGTGAGAGAAGTAGCTCTACTTTACAGATGAGAAAACAGATTCAGAGAGTTCAAGTAACATACTCTAGGTCACAAAGCAAGGAATGAAACTAAGAACTCCCCAGCTCTTTCTACCAGGCCACACCCCTTCTCCCAGCTTACCTGGTCTTGGGGGAAGTTCCTGAGCTCCCTTTTCAGTTGCTGTAGTTCCTGCAGTCTCATCCTTAGTCTTGTTTGCTCCTCCTGAAGGCTGTGGAATGGGTTCTCCCTGAGTGCCTATTGGCGCAGAGGGCACAATCAGATCTCCACCAGCCTTTCCAGACAATCAGTGAGCCCAGGGGAAGGGGGTTCCTATTGCTCAGCCCAAGGACTCTCCAGGAGCAGAGTTGATGCTCAGCCCAAGAACAACCCAACCCCTTTACCAGGCCCTGGGCCGGTCCTGGCCCTGTCCACTCAGGACTTGGTGATCTCAGCCACGCTGAAGGGCAGGAACCTTTGTAGAAGCCCTGGCTAGTTTATTATTGAGACCTAGATTTTAACAATCACTGATTGAGTTCCTGCTGTGAGGTGCTGGGTACTGATACTAGGCGGTGGAAGACAAGGGTCTAGTCCTCAGTTATGTACAAAACAGTGTCCAAGACTGTGCGCAATCACATGACTGTTTGTGGAAGACAGCAGGAGTCTGGAGGAGGGACAGTCACAAAGGGGTTAACACAGCTAAGGAGGCCTCCTGGAGGAGTGGGTGCTTAGAGCTGCAAAATGTCCTAATACTATTAGCTAACATGTATTAAGCACTAACATGTCAGGCATTGTGCTAAGCCATTTATTTATTTGTTTGTTTGTTTGTTTGAAAGTGTATTTAGAAAGTTATAGAGGTAGTAGAAGTGAAACAGCTGGGCTCTGTAGGTTCAGAAAACATGTTACAGAGGCAGAAGACAGGCTCCTGGAGCTTAGAAGAGAGAATGCCCAGGGACAGGCCTGGGGGAAAGAAGAGGGGGAAGGCAAAGGTGCAGGGTGCTCCTGAGAGGGGGAGCACCTGTGCTAAGCTATTTATGTAGATCACATCACTCAGTTCTTCCAGCAATCCTCTGGTTCTTATTTTACAGATGAGGAAACCTGAAGCTCAGGGAGGTTAAGTGACTTGCTCCAATGATTCAGCCCTGGTCACTCTGACTCCACACTGCTAACTTGTGCTTTGCAGTGAAGAAATCAAGCCCAGAGTTGGGTAATTTTCCCCACATCTCTCAGCTTGTCTCTTGACTACCACCTTTTCCATTGTTCAAGCAGCCTTTCAGGTTGAGTGTGATTTGGAGCAAGTCCACAGAGAGAGAGAGTTGACAACGTGGGCAGGGAAATTACACCAGGAATATGAATAAATGCACCTTTGTTTGTGGATTGGAGCAGACATTAGCTGGCAGAGTTCACCCTGTGGTTGGGAAGTCTGATAAATAAGGTCAGCCCAGAGTCTAAGTGTGAGCTCACCTAGAGATATGGGATTCTGTCCTGGTCTTCTCTGTATCTCCAGTGCTCAGCAGAGACCCTGGCACAAAACAGACATTTGGCAAATGTGTTGAATGAATGCAGTGAATGAATAATAGGATGGAAGCATATTACAGAGGGCATTGATGACATTCAGTGAGTTCACTCATATTTTTTTAAATATATTTTTATTGATTTTAGAGAGAGAGGAAGGGGGAGGAGGGAGAGAGAGAAAGAGAGAAACATCGATGTGAAAGGGAAATATTGATTGGCTCCCTCCTGCACACACCCCTATGGGGGATCAAACCTGCAACCTGGGTATGTGCCCTGGTTGGGAATTGAACTGGTGACCTTTTGGTGCACAGGATGACACTCGACCAACTGAGCCACACCAGCCAGGGCAAGTTCACATTTATTTTGATTTTTAACAGAGGAAAACTAGAGCTTAAATAATGCTGGTTTATGAATAGTGAGAAAGGTACCTCATTCTTTATATTTCTGTAAACAAGGGGTTGCAAACTCAGTGCCCATAAGGGCCATTTAGATGACATCAATGAATCAAGGGAGCCAGTATAGTATGATAGGGAGTGGTGGCAACTCTGACAAACTGGAGAAAGCACATCCCCACTAAAGTGGCAACCTCTTCTTAGCTCCAACAGTTTTTTTACATGGGAATGTGGTTGTAGTATCCCATATCTCTTGATTTTTAAGGGAAATCAGAAATCTGGATTTTTATTTGAAAAAGATGACTCATTGTAAAAAATATCTGAAAACTAAAATATTTTAATGGGCTGGATTCAGTCCTCAGTTTATCCTCTTTTTACTTCTGCTTTAAAATTTGATCTAATTACACATAATTGAAAATCTAGTAATTGGTAATGCTATTTAATAAATAGCTTAATAAAAATAAATAATAGCTGTATAAATAGAGTATTTTAAAGAACAATTCAAGCCTGGCCGGTGTGGCTCAGTGGTTGAGTGTCGACCCATGCACCAAGAAGTCGCCAGTTCGATTCCTGGTCAGGGCACATGCCCAAGTTGTGGGCCTGATCCCCAGTGGCGGGCATGCAAGAGGCAGCCAATCAATGTTCCAATGTTTGCTTCTATCTCTCTCTCTAAACTTAATAAAGGAAAAAAAAAGAAAGAAAGCTCTGGCTAGTTTGGCTCAGTGGTTGGAGTGTCAGCCTGCGGACCAGAGAGTCCTGGGCTTGGTTCCCGCTAGGGGCACGTACCAAAAGAAAAAAAAAAAAGAACAGATCAAGCAGGGGAGTGTAGATGTGATATCAGCAGGAAATGGGGAACTAGTGCAGATTTCTGAAAGGGTGTGAGGTGATGGACATGGTGTCTAAAAGAGATCCTGGTAGTGATGGCAGGATGAACTGGGTAGGAATCCCGTGGAGTGAGGGAAACAAACCCAAGCTCCTTGGCTCTAGTTCCCACCAATGGGACAGGAGCTGACCTGGGCCTCGGCAGGAGGCAACAAAAGAGCACATGTGATGAGTACATTTCACAAGGAAAAGCTCCCAGACTCTGTGGATGTATTAAGGAGACAGAGGGGAATGAAGTGGAGAGGCAATGCCAGGTTGCAGGCTTGGGTGCCTGAGTTTGATATACTATCATTGACCCAGAGGGCAAGGAAAGAGAGCCAAGCCTGCTAAGTGCCAGGCAGAGTTGGACTCTATCTCATTTCAATATCCCAAAACTGCGCTGGCTGGTTTAGCTCAGTGGTTAGACCGTCGGCCTGCAGATCAGAGTCGCAGGTTTGATTCCGGTCAAGGTCACGTACCTCGGTTGCAGTTTGTCTCTGGCCCTGGTCAGGTTGTGTGGGAGGCAACCAGTTGGTGTTTCTGTCTCACATCAATGTTTCTCTCTCTCTCCCTCTTTCTCTCTTTACACCTTCCTCCTACTCTATCTGAAGATAAATAGAAAAATATCCCGGGGTAAGGATTAAAATAAATAAATGAAATAAATATCCCAAAACTTCCTCCCGTCTCCAATTCCCAATTGAAACTTGTCTCCTACAGAACACAGGCCAATTGTAATCACCTAACTTGAATTCAACTATACAATATGATAACAGGGTCTCTAAGTGCAACCCACGTCCTAGCCCGCGTGGCTCAGTTGGTTGAGTGTCATCCTTTGCACCAAAAGGTCACTGGTTCGATTTCTGGTCAGGGTACATTCCCGGGTTGCGGCTGAATCCTCAGTAGGGGATGTGTGGATCAATGCTTCTCACACCTCACATCGATGTTTCTCTCTCTCCCCATGCATCTCTATCTAAAAATCAATAAAAACAGCCCAGCCAGTGTGGCTGAGTGGTGGAGCATCAACCCACGCACCAAGAAGTTGCCAGTTCGATTCTCGGTCAGGACACATGCCCAGGTTGTGGGCCCAATCCCCAGTGGGAGGCATGTAGGAGGCAGCCAATTGATGTTCTCTCTCATCAATGTTTCTATCTCTCTAAAATCAATAAAGAAAAAAATAAATAAAATCAACAAAAACATATTTAAAAATAAATAAATAAATGCAAACCACTGTTCATCTGGTGTTCAACTGAAAAAAATGGCAATCCACTCTACCTTGAATTCACTGAGAGACTGTAAATTCTGGATACTTTTCGGGTAAGTTCGTGATTTAAAGTTAACTACATACATTCTTCTGCGTTACTTGAGTTTAGAACCTCACCACTCACCACCACATAAGATAAAATCTCATGATAAAACCTCAAATCTCATGCTATCTATTTTCATCACGGGAATATTAGGAGGCAGTTTAGCATAACGGTTAAGAGCACAAACTCTGGGGCCAAACCTCTGGGGTTTATTCAGCTCCTTTTACTACTGCAACTTTTTTAAAAAACATGTTTTTATTGATTTCAGAGAGAGGAATGGAGAGGAAGATAGAAACATCGATGAGAGAGAAACATCGACCATCTGCCTCCTGCACACTCCCTACTGGGAATTGAGCCTGCAACCCGGGCATGTGCCCTGACCCAGAATTGAACTGGCAACCTCCTAGTGCATGGGACGACACTCAATCAATGGAGCCACACCAGTGGGGTGCTACTGCAAGTTTAAAATTTGTTTTCTTTATTGATTTTAGAGAGAGAGGAAAGGAGAGGGAGGGAGAGAGAGAAACATTGACCAGAGAGAACATCAATTGGCTGCCTCCCTCAGAACCTGACCAGGTTCTTGCCCTTGACTGGAATTGAATCTGAGACTCTTTGGTCTGCGGGCCAACACTCTAACCACTGAGCAAAATCAACCAGAGCTCCACCTGTGTTTAATTTTTTTAATCTTCACCTGAGGATATGTTTTTATTGACATTAGGGAGAGAGAGAGAAACATTGATGTGAGAGAGCAACAGTGATTAGTTGCCTCTCGTTTGTGCCCTGACTGGGAATCAAACCCACAACCTAGGTATGTGCCCTGATCAGGAATCTAACCCACAACCTTTTGGTGTACGGGACAATGCTCCAACCAACTGAGCCACCTGGCCAGGCACCTGTATTTAATTTTGTTTGGAAGTGGTGCCTGGCACATAAATACTATGGTACATGTTTTCTATTTAAAAATTTTTTTATCCTCACCTGAGGACATTTCTGCATTTTTTTTTTTTTTTTTTTGCATTTATCTTCAGATAGAGTGGGAGGGAGAGAGGGAGGAAAAGAGAGAGAGAAACATTGATGTGAGAAACCCACTGAGTTATTGCTACCACATGACCCCAACCGGGGCCAGGGATAAACTGCAACCGAGGTACATGGCCTTAGCAGGAACTGAACCCAGGACACTCTGGTCTGTGAGCCAATGCTGTGGGCCTGAGCCAAACTGGCCAGGGCCATGTTTTTTTATTTTAATAAAATCTATTTTATAGATGAGGAACCTGAGGTTCATCAAGGTTAACTAATGGGCCAAAGTAAGTCAAACCCAAGGCTATTGAAGATGCATAAGGTCAGGACAGGACTTGGTGGAGAGGAAGGAGTCTGGGTTAGAAGGGCATTGTGGTGATGGTTGAAGCCAAGAGGATGGAAGAGCTCTCTGAGGAAGAGCCTTAATAATGTAATCTTTGAGGATACCTGATCAGGAGTCAGGAGAAAATGCAGAGAAGAAATAGAAGACATGTTTAGAGATAAGCAGGGCCAGGACTGGGAAGTGTCAGACACAAAGGACGAGGAAGGATGAAACTGAGCTGCAAGGAAATGGCTACCAGAAGGCCACTCGCTCACTGCTCACTTGCTTACTCATTTACTCACCTAACGATTAGAACCACCCTCTGCCAGGCCCTGTTCCAGGCTCTGGGGACACAGAAGTGCACAAAACAGACAAAACTTCCTTGTGGAATTTACATTCTAGGGGATGAGCCAGACAATAAGCAGAATAAATACGGAAAATGTACATTATGTTAGTGTTAAGTGTTATGGATAAAAACAAAGCAGGAAACGGAGGACAGAGAAAGTTAGAGTATAGTTTTGTTTATTTTATTTATTAATTTATTAATTTATTATTATTATTATTATTATTTTTTGGTATTTCCCCCTGGCAGGAACCGAACCCAGGACTCTCTGGTACACAGCCCGACGCTCCAACCACTGAGCCAAACTGGCCAGGGCTATTTTTATTTTAAAAATATATATATATTTTTAAAAATTTATTTGTATTGATTTTTTAGAAAGAGAGGAAGGGAGAGAGAGAAAGATTGATGTGAGAGAGAAACATCAATAGGCTACCTCCTGCACTCCCCCAAACAGGGAATGAGCCCGCAACCCAGGCATGTGCCCTGACTGGGAATTGAACCGGCAATCTCTCAGTCCATGGGACAACGCTTAATCCATTGAGGCACACAGGCCAGACTGGAGGACAGTTTAACATTTTTTTTTTTTTCTCTATTGATTTTTAGAGAGAGAGAAAGGGAGGGAGAGGGAGAGAGAGATGGAAGCATCGATGAGAGAGAACATTGATTGGCTACTTCCTGCCTGTCCCGCACTGGTGATTTGGCCCACAACCTGGACATGTGCCCTGACCAGGAATTGAACCAGTGACCTCCTGGTGCATGGGTCTAAGC